AAACCACCATTTACAAGGCAATGTTCAGGTGTATAATGTAAGGATCCCTGTTCATGCACGTGCGTCCTTTGATTCTCATCTAGGTCCCCCAGCGATTGGTGCCCTTTCTCACCTGCTTCTTTTTTGGTTGGGAGGGTTCCCCTACTAAAATAGACTACAGAAAAAAAAAGGTACCCCTATTCTAACCTCTGTACTGGAGGACCTTGTCACTTCCCTTCCTTGGAGCTTGGTCTTCTGGCAATATTGTCCGCCACCAACAGCCAGGAATCCTCGCACCACAAAAAGCCAAAAACCCAGCCCAGAGAAAAACAACCAAACACGAAAGAAAAACGACAAATACTCCTTGGCTTCTTTGCTTTTTGGCTTGTCAGCTTCTTAGCACCATGTTTGTTATCGCACACTGTCTCCATTTGTGTCCTTGTTTGTTGTCTCCGCCCCCCACCTAGGGCCGTTGTTCGGCTTTGTGATGACCTTAAAGGCAACCACACCCTGAACGAACCCTAAAGAGGACAAAGCCACCACCAAACCCACTCTAAACCCTCACTAAAACAAGAACCAACTTAAAATCAAAACGAAGCCAACTTTAAAGATACCCGAAATAAACCTTAAACCCGCCCTAACGACCCGAAACAGGCCAATTGCAAAACAGCAAGCAACTATCCCTTAAACCACCCTAAGCCAATCCTACAACCCACCCTAACCCCAATCGAAACGAACCCTACACCCGCACTAAACAAGCACTACACCATCGCCAATAGACCCACCTTAAGCCAATCCTCAAGAAACCCCTCCAAGCAAACCCTACACTAACCCTAACCCCCCACTCAACCCACCCTGAGGCAGCTCATTAGAGTCCTTGTTTTTCCATGGGGGTGGACTGAACCCCTGCACTCCCCCCAACTCCCCCGCTTGTTTTTTACGGGGCCGTGGTTCTTTGTTCGGGTTGATAGGGCCGTCGTTCACGTGAGTTTCACGAGCAACTCACGGTCCCGACTGTATGAACCACACAGCGCGGCAGAATAGTTTTACTAGTGTGTGCCGAGGTAGCCTCCCTTAAGCTTCATATCCATACATGTAGCTTTCTCGCGCGCAGTGCATCTAGTTTTGAATGATCACGTGCTTGCACGTGCATTCTTAAAGATAGCTAACTCAATTAGTTCTAGCATTATGGAAGTTCCTTCATGTTCCTTCTAAACTTCCTGTGGGCAAACACCAGCCATGCCACGATAGTCACAGAATGTAGCTCTAAGTCAACCGAATTTAATGTTTGTGCTTTGCCCGATTGCTAGAAAAAGTGATTGCTAAACATGCATATTCTTTTTGATTCCCTACCCGAATGTGAAGAGGTCACGGAACATTTGCGAATGGTTTGTTTTAATTGAACGGCCCGCTAGCTCTAACCCCCCCCCAAAGGTTCTAAGATCCTTTTGGTGTCTGTGGGGTCCGGGTGGGGTCTGTGGGGGTGTGGGAAGGGAAAGGGGGTCATTCGTTTCTCCCAAGCGGTGATCGCCCCAAAAGTGAAGGTTCCCTCTAGAAAGGGACCCCCCCCCTCATTCTGATTCCCAACTTGTGTGATCACCTCACTTTGCAATTGGTTGGTATTCCCAGCAGACATGTTCCGTGTAATGCTGACCCCATATTAGTAAATTCCGGATTATTCATATGGGGATGTGCCCCTCCAAAAGTGGTCTGATTCCAACCACATTTCACCCAGGGATCCCCATAGCAATAAACAGGAGTTGATTCGTTTGGGGTCAACAGAAGGTGGCAAGTTTGAGAACCCTACAACCCCAACCCTGAATCCCAGCACCTAAGACCCCAACCCTAAAACCTAAAGCCTAAAATCCCACCCCTAAAACCTAAAACCTAAAACCTAAATCCATGGTCAAAATCCCAAGGTCCCAGAGCCGAATTTGAGGACGACCCGGTGAAGCGCGCCAAGATCGCGGAGGCCCACTTTGCCTCCACTCGCATCCCGTACAAGACGACGCTCGGACGCATTTGTTTTCGTCGCTTTGGTCGTTTGGGTCGCTGGCCAGGCTTGGGGCTGGCCCCTTGCCAGGCTTGACGCCTTTGCTGGGATCATCTTCAACAAGTTGTTGTTTTTTTTTGCATTTTATTGGCCTGGGCGCTCAAAACACCCATTAGAAAGGGAACTCGCCCCGTGATTTTTGGGGGCGATGCCCAATGTTTTAAGGGAGAGAGTCCAGGTAGATAGACCCGGCCGATTTCTCCCATGACGGATAAGTTCTGGACATCTTGTCGGCAAGGTGCCGCGAGTTGGGCCGAGTCCGGTGATTGATTTGGGACAAGCACACACCCCAAGCCAGCACCAAAATCACGTCAATCTTCACGCAGAAGTAACGGTGGGTGATGACTGCCCTTTTTAGAGGTCTTTCCCGGGTATTTGGAGTGGCTGAGATGTGAGCAAGCATCACTTGTTGGGGGTATGTTGAGTGAGTTGCCTCGCGAAGCTCATAAAACAACTGCTACCACCCCCCTGTTCAGTTTTGGCAGGGTTCGCCTTTCCCCTTCGAGCATCACTTCGCTCACCCCAAAAACGATGATACCTTTAATCCGGGGAAGGGGGTAAAGCAGGGAACCCCGAATATTATATGTTCTGCCCAAGGGTGTGAGACTCTGGACGTTTTTTGGTTCGGGTCAGGAACCGCCTGGTGCTTTGGCGCGGAGAGCGCTTCTTCCGGCCGGACTGGGCGTCCAAGAAATGGCGACTCGGACTCGAGTTGCGGTTGCTCCTTTCTCGGGTTCCCGTGCGGAACTTGTCAGGGAGGGTGGTCCGAGGGGGGTTCCCAAGGCTCCCTAGTGTCTATTTCAATTTCCTCAGGCTCACAGATCTCAGGTTGAAACAGCTCCAATAGGAAGCTCAATTTGGATGAGCCCGAAAGACGTTTGGATCCGCCCTTGAAGCGAGATTTGGTGTTCTCAGTTGTTCAGTTGTTGAGCACCTTCACCCCCACGTGTTGTTCTTTTTTGTGGGGGGAGGGAGTTTCCAGTAAAAAGAAGTGCAAACCCAGAGGTCACTTTTTTCACAGGGGTCATTGGGCAAAGGGTCAGCCTGGTGGTTTCTGGGCTCGTTGGAACCATGCTTGGTCCCCGCTGACTTGGGCGCGGGTTTCGTGCGGTTTCGTACATAACCCACGCGTTCCTTTGTGGTTTTGCTTGGTTTGAGTCGCGTGAAAGGGCGCAGTTCAAGCTGGCGGACGTTCTTGCATGTCGGGCGACGTTTGGGACCCATTCGACATCCGATGCCCAACCTTAGGTGGGCATTATTTGCACTCGTTCAAGGTCCTTTAGAGGTTAAGACGAATCATAGCGCTTGTTTTCTCAGTGTTTGGGTTTGTAGGTTTTGTTTGGGAAGATCGTTCTGGCAGAACCGTTCTGGCAATCTTTCCACTAGGCTGTACTGTTGCCAACCTATCCACTCAGGAAGTGACTGGAATCACCCTCCAACCAACATTGCCATGGAACCTGACTGGATGTGACCATTTCCGTCTCAAAAGGCACCTTCTGGTGGGTTCATTGGCAACGTGGGTTGAACGGCAGGAGCGGCTACTCCCTCGTTCAACATGCCATGCCTCTACCATTGTTTTAACATCCTACTTTGGCTCCCGCTGTGGCTTCCGGGCAGCTCCATTCGGGAAGGTTTCCGGAATTGCCTGGGCTTATCTCGGAGGGAATGAACCTGGAGGATCCCGGATCGTCTTCAAGGACACCACCAGTTGGATGGTATTTTTTTGGGGGTCCAAGTCTTCAAGGACACCACCTGGATGGTTTTCCTCGGGGTCCTTCCATTTTCATTCCCTGCCGAGTTCGCGCAGCAAGTTCAAGCAAACAAGTGCTCAACGCTGGAGCGAGGCGAGCTGGGTTCCGGCACCGCCGGGTGGACCTCTTCCTGCTCTACGGGGAGCCCGTGTAGCGCCGGCGCGCGCCGAGGCTCCGAACTTCGAACCAATCGATTCAAGTGGTGACAAAGGTCCGTCAACAATTGTATCTTGTTGGCGTTTTCTCTCTGGCAACCATTTTGAGTCATGGCTCCAAAAGGCGATCAGATTTTTCAGGCTCCCAAAGGAGCAAGTTCTTCCTGGGGTTTTGGGATATCCCTTGAACATGTAGCTGGTTCGCTTGATACGCATGCGCACGGGCGCAGAAAGCAGCAAGCGGCTTCGCGCCGTTTCTTCGCCTGGCGAAGGCGAGGCCCAAAGGTGGCAACATGACAAGCGAGGAGAAAACGGCCGAACGGCCGACTCGCAGCTCTAGAGGTGTTGCCAGTACCGGGGGCACGATTTTCTTCCGTTTGCTTGCGAATACTTTTTTGATTTTCCCTGTTTGCGAGTTTATTATTTTGGTCTTAAAGGGATCTATCACTACTGGACATATGCTCCTCTTTTGCAGGAGGCTTAAGCAAATGGAGGCGAGGGGGTACCCCCGAGTCCTGTTTACGGACATAGTAGCAGTTGGCAACCACAAGCTAGGGTCATTGTGTTGGTTGTGTTTCTGGGTATCGAAGTCAGAAACTGGTGTGGTTTACCAGCTGAATCTGATGCCGGACGCAAAGGGATTCATGCTGCAGCGCTTGGTTTTCAGCGCGGTTTGGCGGTTTGAGGGACAGGTTCAGTCGCAACGCAGCTCTTCTCAGCCCCCGTCTTATGTGGTGGTTTGCAGCCATCCCCTTCAGTTTTTTAGCTTTTCAGTGTTTCGTGGGGATGTCCCTTTGCTAAAAGTTGAAAGGAATCCGATGTGCAATTTGTCTTGTCCAGCTGGATGCTTTGCTACTCATATTTCTCCAACTTTTCCCAAGAAGGACACCAACACAGGCCCATGTTTCTTCAACTGTTCCGAGCAAGGACACCAGGACCAACACCAAACCTCCATGGCCATGGTTTTCTAGAAACGCCCAGGTTTGTTCGAAAAGGAAGCTAAGACATTGGATTTTTATTGGTCCAGTGGTCCAGCCCCCCGACACAACACCCAGCCAGTTCCCTTCCCCTTGCAATGCGCACGCCGGCGGGCGAGCCATGAGCCATGACGAAAGTGCAAGGCCTGAATCGCCGCCTGGACTGAGAGGTCGACGGGGGCCCCTATAGTGTTCTTTGTTTTGGGGGGGGAAGGGTTGGGGGGGTCTCGGCAGACATGGGTGCCTTGTTCCTTTCTTTTGGTTTCTGAGGGGTTTCTGGTTGTCTCTTCCAAAGCTATTCGATCTTTTAGAGGTTAAATATGGAACAGCGTCTACATATTGGTTTCCGTGTAGCCCACATGAAAACCCAGTTTTCAGGCTGCCCTTGAGTGGTTTGGATGGGCTTGGGGAATTGAATTTCCGGTTCTTGTAGCGGGTAGATGGGAAACCACTTCCTAGCCACCAAACCACCAATCCAAAACACCAATTTTGTGGGAAGCTGATATTTGATCTTTCAGGGTGGGTCAAACATGGAACAGAAGTCTAGATAGTATTATTTCCTGTGTACAGATGCGGTCACCTTTTCGGGCCCTTTGACATGAGCGTTCTTTTGGGGCGATGTTTGAAGGGAACATCATTGTAGAGAGCCATGTTCCTCGGGACGGGAGTCCCTTTGATGTCAACCATTGCAAAGAGGACGGCTGTTTTCTCATGTAAGCCACCAGTTGTAACAGGCAGTTGAGGATTACCTAGGTGATCTGCCCGGCAGCATGGAGTGCATGGATTTCCCCAAGAGTCGAGCTTTCTCCCAAGGGGCAAGCAAGTCCTAGTTCGGAAGATCGCTTCACCTCTTGCATGATTCTGGCTATGTGATAGCGAGCTCACCTGGGGGTAAAGGTCCTTTACTTGGGGATCCCTTATTCCAAATTTTGAAAATCTTACAATTTTGTAAAACAACATGCAATCATTTTCTTCTGTCCCTCTGGCCCAGGTGCAACTCGCTTTTCACAACGGTTTGCACAGAGAGGGTGTCATCTGCGTTCGCCGTTTGGTTAGCTTGAACGGTCTGACTCAGGCCCCTGGTGTGATGGAGCATGACGCATCTACCCCTCCTGGATCAGAATCTTTGGGGGGCATGCCAGGTGCATTCATTCCACATGTCTTGGAAACACCCCGTTGGTGGTCTCGAAGCAAAGCAACTGAACAAGGCAGGATTGCAGTACCTTCGCTCAGTCCCACCGGAAACGAGCCCTGCCAAATAGAGCCCTCGAGAGCGAGCTCAATTGTTGTGCCGAGGGCTGCGCTGGAAATATGCTCGGCAGACGTGCCCTGGACAGCACTGCGCCACTGCGCACGACATCCATTGGGTTGTGCGAATGGTTGAGTTTGAGTGTCGCAAAGCACAAGTATGCCATGGGTTGTCAACAAGCAGGAGTCTTTTTCGGGACTCTGGTGCCATGTGTCGGCAAGGCGGACCATTGTGAGTTCATCTCAAAATGGGGGGGGGAGGTTGTGAACCGGCACACTCATGTAGTTTTTACTTTGTACTTTGGCCCCTTTGGACGAACGCTCCAAACATTGTAATTACCCAGAACAAGAAGCATATGGGCGTGCGTTTTGTAGTTGTGGGTACCCCTTTTTGTGGGTTGGGCAACAGCAAACCACCAATCTTAGCGGGTTCCCAATTTTGGGACAAACCCATCACACCAAGCCCCAGCTTCAACAAGAGCGGCTTAGCATTGAACTCTGCAACGCTGGAAGGGTAGCAATGGTGCAACATTTCGGAAACTGGCGTCATGTCTTGCCAAAGTGGCTTTAGACAACTCTATGAGAGGTGTTCACCGAACTTGTGAATTTCAGTCGGGAAGCTCCTCAAGGCAATGTGCCCTGACAACAGCAACAGCCTGAATGAATGTTCTGCGCGTCATGGTCCCTCAAGCGCGCCCTGGCGACCATTTTAAATTTTAGTCAGGTTTTGCTGGGTGCGATCAATAGCCCATTTTTTTCATATCACCGACAACTCCCCAAAGGGAAGGCAACAGGGGATTGGTAATTTTCATTTGTTCAGATCCCTTATGCAACTGGAAACCTTTTTAGTTGGCGGTGTCCTCTTGGTCGCGAGGCCCTGATGCCCTTCCAAAGAGATCCTTGTTGACACAAGTGCGCAAAGGCATGCGTAGGTGCCCTTGTTTGGGTTGCACAGTTTTTGTGCAGCACTGTGCCCCCCCTTTTTTGGCAACTGCCCGCTAAAACTGAACAACCAAACAGATAGACCTATTTTGCAATGGAAAGAACCGAGCACTGAGGGGGAAGGTTGCTTTTGGGAATCTCAGCTTGAGAAGCAACAATGCAGGCATTCACAAAATTGCTAGGAGGCCCCCCATTCAGTTCGCAAGCCCAATGTGGCATTCCATTTTTTCTCCAACTTCTGGTGTTGCACTTTTGGGGGGATCTGCTTAGGAAGCAACCAGTTCAGTTGGCCTTGGTCACTCAAATGAAGAAGTGAGATATAGGTAGTAATTTTTATTTACCCCTGACCCCCTGACATTTATGTGGGTAGTTGTCTCTGACCAAGTGAACCCCAAACGTGGGGGGTTTTCTCTTTGGACTCCCGGCTGAAGTAAATAAAGGCTGCTCTCAACAAAAAGGCATTCCATAGGTCGTGCTCGCCCATCTGCCGCCGGCATGGGCCAGCCTGTCACTGGCTATCACTGTGAATGATTAGAAGGGGGGTTGTGCGGCAATTCAAGACCCACCTTTAGTCGCGAGCAGTGGAGCTAAATGTTAGAAGCCGTTTAGTCCACTAGTCCACCCCCCCCCTATTTACATGTACCTCCTCCAAACCTCTCCATCCCCTCCAAACCCCTCCACCTCCACACCCCCACCATGGCGATATAAGCGCCAGCGAGCCGTAGGTTCTTGCCGTGGAAGCTGGCGCTCTGCAAGCTCCTCGTTGGCGTGCCTCTGCCAAGGGAAGCCTCGGGAGTCAGTGGGTTCCCTCGAACCTTCCTTGGAAACCACACCACCAGAATAATAGGCCCATATGGGTGGCTCGCCTTTTTCCTACGAATCAGAACCCCCCAACGAAAAGGGCATATTTTTCCTTGTGGTTTTGCGTTTTTCCTAGGAATCAGACCCCCCCACCAAAAAGGGCGGATATTTTTTTCGTGGTTTCCCTTTAGGCCCGCAAAACTACAGGTGGCCTCCGAAAAGTCACATACGTCTTTAGCGTTTGTTCGCGCAAACATGGAGGTGATTTTGCCAGTATCTACTGAGTTTGGGGCGATGTTCTCGCCGGACATCCGGAAAGATTGTTCACATCAAGACCACTTCTTTTTAAGGGCACGTCACAATCGTGACCAACCCCTAAGTTGATATTGCGAATGGGGTGGGTGGTTGACTATTGGAACCTCTTCTTTTCTACAAAGTCATATTTGATGGGATCAGCACCCTCATTATTTTCATCCATTTGCTTAAGACTATTCTGTTTCTCTCTGTTGGTTTTAAAGGGAGCCTTTCACTACTGGACACATGATTTTCCCAGGGCACTTAAGCAAATGGAAAGCGTTATTTGCTGAGTCTGGAAAGGGAATCTGGTCAAGGGTTGTGGATTGGCCGCCCCATGTTCTTCTAACCGGAAGCATGTAGGATTTTCGGAAAGGCCATCGCCGCTGCCGAAACTCCGCTTTTGTCGCAAAGGAGTTTCAAAATCCACTGCCCAAAAAGACTTGCTGGTTCGATCGACAGGGAATCAGGGAATGACCCCCATAAACCACAAATCAGTTCTGGGTGGTACCCATCTTGCTGGTTCTCAGCAGCAGGGAATAAGGAAACAATATGTTTGTGGCTTTTTGAAAGGGAGTCCCCAAACGGTTCATTCCCACCACCCGAGCTCTTTTCATTCCTTAGCTGTCGCACCAAGAAGCGCCTGTTCTCTGACTGGACGTCTTTTCTCGCCTTGGCCAATTACCTCGGAGAGGTGTGGGTGGTTGGTGGCAAGCTTACCTACCCCCTACACCCAATACCCACTTTTTTCAGGGTATGATGTCGGCCCACTACTAAAAAAGGAGGTATTTACCATGGAAAACCAGGTTTTCCCAAAATACCCTGAAAAAAGCGGGTATTTGGAGTAGGGGGTAGGTTAAGGCTTTGCTCTCGGTCACGAGGAAATATACCTGGCTGAATGCAGGTGGAGCGGCCCCAAGAAGGGCAGCTCACGAACATGGCTCCGTCAGGCGTGATACTGTGGATGGACGAAATCCTCTTAGGCACCACCTGACAAACGCGGGAATCATGATTCCCTTGTAAATACCAACCAACAATGGCGTCCTATGGTGTCAAAGTGGTGCAGGATTTCGTCCATCCACAGTATTGCAACTTACTTGCACTTGCACGCACACGCACGCGCAGACACGCGCACCCACGCGCGCGCGCCCACGTGCTTTGCGGTTATGGGTTCCAAGATGTTTCACAAAAGCCATGTTTTGGAATGGTTTCACTCGCATGCCGCCGGCGTCTGCATGCAACGCAGCTTTGTCCAGGCTTATTATTTTCAGTGTTTCTGGCTGACGTCCGAGTTTCTCGGTTGCCGCCCTTCACGTACCACTAGGGTGAGCTTGGTAAAATATGGGGGTCAGTTCATTTTTACTGTTCTTCGCATTTTGCTTTTTTGGCTCTGTTCATTTCAGCAGGGCGCTGCAAACAACCGTCAGTTCTTTTTTGCAAGCCCGTAGCGTTTGGGTTGAGGACTGGTTGAGACTGGTTGATTTCAAGGGAATGACGCGGATCTCAGCGGCTCGGACTCCGCGGCCGGAGGTACGACCCATGGCGGTGGCCTACGTGCTGGTGATGCTCGGCCAGCCCCTCCTCTCGAGCGAGAGGGTAGTGAGTCACAGCGAAAACGGGAAAACATGTTGACTCAATAGTAAACCCCAGTTTATTCACAGGTCGTGTGGTTTTGGCTCTCCAAAAGTGCCCTTTTCAGTCCCTCTAAGTGGGGTTGACCTTGCCACTCGGGGGCTATACCCTTCTTGACTAAACACTTACTAACTTGGCCGAACATCCAAGTCCCTCCAACTAGCGTTGACCCCAACTTAGTCAACCCCAGTTTGTTAATAGGGGGTGCTTTTGCCCAGTTTAGTGGGGAATCAGACTATACTTTTGGAGGGGCCAAAACCACCCCCCCTACTGTGGATGGACGAAACCCCGCACCACTTTAAAACCATGGGACACATTTCGTTTTGGTAATTGCACGGGAATCGAATCGTCCCAGGGTTTCTTAGGTTTATCACCTAGGTTGCCAACAACTTACTGATTTGGCCGCACGCCAACTAGTAGGGGATACTCCCAGGAAAAAATGGGTTCGGATATCCGCCTTTTCAATTCTTTACATGGCTCTGGGTAGACCATTTCAAGCCCGGGTTTTCATTATAGCTCCGGTGAAGTGGGGGTGCCTTTTTTCTCCGGAGTTGCCCCCCCCCCGAAAATCGTCCGAGAAGTCTGTCCAAAGACGGCTGACGGAAACGCGGTGATGTGTCCAACCGCACTTCCCCCTTTTAGCTCATCATGAAAGTATACGTCATGGTTACACAGGTAGTTGGAAGGACCACGAGCTGAGAGCAAGGAGTTTTTCTTGGTCCCTGGTAATGTCAACCCCGGATTAATACACCCCTGGTTGATTAATAGGGGGGTGTCCCCTTTTAGTTGGGATTCATCACTTTTGGAGGGCACACCCCCCTAATAATGGGGCAACGGCCCATGGACAATTTTTATCCACATCCAAGCCGGCACCTCTTGGCGTTTGGGGTGTTACCTCAACGGGGTGCACGGAGCTCACGAGCCACCCTATGAAGGGGTTCTCTATTCAGATTCCGGAGTTCTGCTGTTAGTTCATTTTTGTTCTTCCCCGCAAAGGCTATGTGTCAGGACAAATGCTGCGTTTTGGTGTGGCAAGGGAGCTGGGGAAGTGCAAGTTGATCTCGCAGCTGGGTGTGTATGCCGTTGCGGGCTCCCTCCCTGCAGTTCCCTAGAAGGTGCGCGACGCTGGCACGCCTCCAAGTCAGGTTGCTGTGCGTTTTCTTGCTGGTGCGATAGGCAGGGAATGAATGGGAATGACCCCGAGAACAACCATCCCCTATTGTTCCTTCAAGGGAATCCCATTCCCTACCGATCACCAGCAAGTTTGCGCTTTTTGTGTTTTGCGGCTTACTCTGTCCCAGACGGTGTGCCAAGGTTGCTGGCACAAGGGGTGAGCCAAAAGCCCCATTACATTGCTTTGTGGAGGGCAAAAGACGCGCAGGGGATGCCCGTTGTTTTTTTTTGGTGTTCAAAGGCTTAGGCTACACAAGGGTCCCCTTTGCCATCCTTTGTGGTGGCTTCTTGCTTGGGATTAGGTTTTAGGATTGCCCAAGCCTCCATTTTGAAAGCCCAGTTTGTGCTAGGCTCCATATCACTTGCTTGGTCAGGATATTCACCCGTTCTGTTTGCACCTCTAAGCGGCGGAAGCGAGGCTGGTGCTGTGCGCACTTGAGAAAGACCAGGCGCGACCGGCTAGGGTGAAGACACTTCAGCGTCCTGCGTGGGATTCATTCGAGATTTGGCCAAGATTTGCAAAACTGGCCCAAACTGGAAGACTTTACTTTGGGATCGTCAGTTGAAGTTTCGCAGTTCGCTTCTTTTCCTTGTGTTGAGCGGGCGCCGCTTGGAAAGTATGGCCACAGTACCGAACCATCGCAACTCTGTCGCCCGGTGCGGGACGCGGTGCTTCCGTGGACTCCCTGAAAGGCCAACCAGCGGCTCTTTTTGGGGGTCTTCTCAGAACATACTTCAGATGTCAGAGCTGGCAATATATATATATATATATAAGTATGGTAGAAAGAGAGAGGGATATATATATATATACATATATATATATATATATATGTATAATTTCGGGTTACACCCCAGATGTAGGCCAAGCTCCAATCCCAAGCACGTGCAGAATCATGAATGCCGCTTGCACGGGAAGGAGCTTTCTACTCTTAATCTCTGAATTGGCCCCAGCTGTACGCTTTGCAGGGGCCTCCCAAAAAAGATAGTACAGTCATCTGCGTGACTAGCCCTTTATGTCAAACTATGAGAGGGAGTCCACCAAATATGTGGACAACACATGTTCTGGCGCTAATTCTCGTGGGGAGTGGGAAACTCTTGTGGTGAGTTTCCGTTGCTTGAAAGCCACACATGGCAAGCAGGGAAAGAGGGAACAACTTGAAGTTCATCATGTCGCGTGGGCTCTTTACCTTGCTATTTTCTGATTGGAACTCGTCAACTCGACGAAAGGAGGTTTCCATTGAGAACATGGGATTGGGACTCCGACGAACCCAATTCACGACGACCTAGGGACATCACTGAGAAGTCAGCAATCTCTGTGCGACGTCCGGTTTCAGCAAACTACAGCGACCTCGGAAATTCGGAGCCGCTTATGAAGGAGGTGTCCTTCTTGGGGCTTCGTGTGTTGCTTCCGGCTGGAGAACATATTCCCCGGTAGTGGCCTCAATGTGCTTCATTTCGCTGCCGTCCAGGTCACTGGGCGGGGATTCTCCGAGGTCCATGCCGGTCATGGGCCTTTCCTTGCTGGATCTCAGTAGCAAATCCCCGGACAGGTCGTGGTACAGGAAACCACTTGTATGGCTCGGCGTGGGCTCATTTCAACTCAGTTCTCGAATTGCCGATGTGGGGGAATGATCCCAAGTGAGCATCGGGGGCTTACCAGGGTGGTTTTGGGTTAAATCCGTCGTAGATTTCATTCCCCATGGGAGCATGGCCAAAACCCGCAGGAGCTGCTCTGGCGCCAGGGAAGGGCAGAGCTGCAGAACCGGCTGAGGCAAGAGCTCACGCCGGCGCCTTGCCAAGAGCTATGCCCCGGACGCCTTAAACGAATCTCCCGGGGAGGCTTCGGGGTATGCTCAACAGGTGGGTCTTGGAGGGTCTTGGACTGAACATCTTCCCAGGAAACCTGAAGGATGTGTTTTTGTTGGCTTGGGACGGATCTGTGTTGGTGTGATGTTGTTTAGATATGTTTATAGTCTACCGAACCGGGTCAGGACCCAGGGAAGGTTTCTAATGGGTCAAGCAGGCTTCCCTGCCGCAAGGGGGATAACCATCAGATCCACATGGTTGTTTCTCTTAGGGAGAACCAACATGTGTCTCGGGTGGTTCCTTCAAACCATTCGAGTGAAAGAACGTACGATGAACTATTCAAGCATACCACTGATGTAGCAAACGTTCCTGAATGAATTGCGGACATTCCTTTGGTCCTTTTGAAGCGGCCTAAGGAGGTACCCTCAAAAAAGAGAAACCACCTATGCATGGGTGTGTCTTGTTTGGAGGGTACCCCTTGCTTGGTGGTTTTGGTTGGGATTCAAGAGAAAATCACATGTTTGTTTTCTCCCAACAAAAAGAAAGCCTCAAAAAGACAAAAAGCTTGGCTGCTATTGGGTTGGATCATTAGACTTTAACTTCTTGGGAAATCAAGGGGTTTTTCACTAAAATCACAAAAAGTTAAACTTTTTGCAGAGGGGTCAACAGCAACCAAGAAAGAAATGGCCGTACCTGGAGCCCCCAAGGAAGCTGTCAACAGAAGGGCAGAAGGACAACTTTGCATTCAACTTGGTCTCGCTTTTGGCCCTAAGCTGCCGTTTGGTCTTCTTTTAGTGGCCCCAAACATGTTTGTCGTTGGGACACATTTTACCTTTTTGCTTATTGTGGTTTAGTGGTTGAAATCCAACCACTCAACTGCTAAATTTAAAATCTGTGCTCCCCTTCCAAGGTCAACCAAGCAAAAGGGTCAATTGATAAGCAAAATCCAAGGTCAACCACTCAACCGTTGTATTTTCAGGTCCTTTGAAGTCTTCGCCATGTGTTTGATTCACCTTCGGGTTGATACACGCCATGCCCTGCATCAAAAGTCAGAGGCTCGGTGGACTGGGTCGAACCAGGTCTTTGGGGTTGAAAAGCAAATCGCTCTACTGCTATTGGGTTGGATCTTTGGACTTTAGCTTTTTTGTTGCCCCTCATACTTCCTTGCAGCCTGCAACAAGTTCTTCTTTTTTGATGGGGGATCTGTAGCACCCAAGATCGGGACAGATAGGAAGGTCTATACAAGCCTGGACGAATTGGAACAAGCCCGGGACAATGGTTTTGTTTCTTTCCCATTTGTTTGAATGAAGGAATCCTTGCTAAGTTGCCCCGGCGGAGTAAATGATAGTTCTTGAAAGGGGGAGCAGGAGACACGTTTCACGGGGTCACCTTAGGTAGGGGGCAGCCAAATGCACTCGACAAAGGACCTGCAAAGTTCAAACTCCGCTGCTTTGATTTGGGGAAGCATGATGTAGGTCCTTTACTGGGGATTGCTTATGTCAGGTGTCAGCTTCCTTTCGGATTCATTGTGTCGAACGCGGATGTTCGGAGAATCGTCACATGCAAACAGGATGGCATCTGCTGTAAAGGGGATGACATGGGGCACACTCACCAATATTCCATGATGAAATGGATTTGGTTACTCACCAAATTCCGCTTCCGGGGAAAAACAGAAAGCATGATCGAACACTCACATGTGACATGTGGGCCTGGCGTTATTTGAGCTGGCACCCCTTTCACCGCAACCATTTTAGGGGTTGAGGTTTATTGGGGAACCACCAAGATGATGGTTGTCCACCAAAGGGTCCCACGTTTAAATTACACGCCTTTTCACGACAGTTCACTGCAGTCTTACTGTGGATGGACAAAATCCCTTCGCACCACCTAAATGAAACCATGGTTGTAACCATAAGGTTGTTGGCATTTGCAGAATCAGTTCCCTTAGTTTCTCAATGGTGGTGCGAAATGGATTTCGCAGCAATCCTCGGCATTTGATTGTTTTGTTTGTCGGTTCTTTGGTTCTGTTCATTTTTAGAAGGGACTGCAAACAAAGCAGTCAGATTTTTTGGCAAGCCCATTCCGTTTGGGTTGTGAATTTCCACAAAACTCCCGTGAGCTCAGGAGACCTATCGTGCACTGGTTGACTCTGGCTTTCGGGAGGTGCACCCGCAGGGTGGCCCAGCCTGCTAGGAAGCAAAGTAGGAGGGAAGGTGAGGTTAAGTTTCGTCTCGCGTTTGGAATAATTAGTTTCTATTGTTCCTTGCTGGTTTTAAGGGGGACCTATCGCTATTGCACATATTGCTCAGTTTTTTCCAGGGGGGTTAGGCAAATAGAGATAGTTAAGCCTTGCTTACAACCTACTTACCTGATTTGTGTTTATCCATTGTTTCAATTTAGTGACCTGAGCTGGGTTGAATATCCAAGATGGCTTGCCCAAGACTTTCGGAGTCTAGCCCGAGGGAACCTGGGTTAAACGTTTGGTGTGAATCCCTGAAAGAAGGGCATGGAAACTCAGGAGGAGGGAGCCTAGCAAAAACGGAACATCCGACATCCGACAGCCCAACAAATCCAACAATTTTCAACAGCAGACGCTGAGCTGCAAGCAAGAGCAAGAAAGAACATTCCAGAAGCCAAAGAGCACAAAGCCATCCCGTCCTCCCGAAGTGTACGCAAGTACTGAAGTGGGGGGGGTGTTTTAATTTAGGCATGCGGTCACAAGACTCAGTTGGTCAGTGGCACCCTTTTTCCTTTTGTTTTGGTGGCTGCCCCACTAAAAATTGTCTTCCAAAACAGGGTTCCCTTTTTTTCCCAGGGTCACTGAACAACTGAGAAGAGAAATCATACGTGGGCTTGTCTTAAACGAACGGAACCCCATAAGTGGGTGGGGTTGCTTTAGCTTTCCCCTCAAACTAACTCCCTTGGTGGTGGTCCCCCAAAAAAAGAGACAACCCTGCGTGAAACAAAGTCCATGGGCTAGAGCCAAGTCAACCACTGGGGGGCTTTGGACCTGTTGGTGCCGAAGGATGGCCTGGGAAACCACCAAGCTTGAGGTTCTCCTATCATCTTCTTGCTGCACGGCATGGAAGGAGAAATGGAATGAGCCCCGAGAAAAACCATCCCTGGCTGGTGGTTTCCTTTTAGGGGACCAAAGCCTGGGTTCATTCCCACATTCCCTACGCACAAGGGAAACCCTCAAAGGATTACAACTGATTCACAGCTGATGGGGACAAATGGATGGTGCTTGTAGATGCGAATCAACAACAGGGACGCCGTCGGGACACAGCTGAACTTATCGCGAATATCAACTCACCTTGTGCCGGTGGACAAGGTTCTTTCCGCGCGAAACGCACCTCATTGGAGACTGGTCTTGGCGGTTCCATTTTTGAGAGGTCCGCTATTGGACGTCGCGGGCCCGAGCTGAACGGAACAATCCCCCACTCGCCCATCATGTGATGGGTGTGTCTCAAAATCTGTCCGCCCTAATTACTTGCAATGGGTACCCACGGTATAGAGACCGGGTTGCACATGGAAAGACGTCGGTCGCTTCGAGTTTTTGCCATCCAGGAACGATGCCCTACACTGGGAGTTCACAGCTGCTCGCCATCTTGGGGCCCCAGCGCGTGTTTTTTGCTCTCCTTTTTGAAAAACATAATAGATCATTTGGTTGTCTCACTCCCATGGTTCCGGGAAGCTCCTCGAGGATATTGGGAAATACTACTTCTGGCTTCCTGAGCTGCCTGCTTCATGTGTTTAGGAGAATGATTTTAGGGGCGGACTTGTGTGTCGGACGGTTTGTCGTCATTTGCTGTTGCAGGCGTGCTGGTCGGTTGTGGACATCGCAAATCCACGCCAATGAGTAGCAGAGACACATGCAGTACAGTGATCTCATTGTCCAACCAGAAGAGGGGACTGCAATCTACACATATCCATGGAATGCATGGCAATGAGAGTGACCATGGCACGCATTCCAATCGGAATCTTGCCTGAGCAACATGCCCAGCAAATGTGGCGGAACGAATCAAGGGCGCTGACTCTGAAGGAAACCCTTGATGATGGGAGACCTGCCGTTCTGAGAATGCTGAGGGCACAAGCATTGAACTGGGCCGGTCTTTTGTTAGGCCCCCCCCCAAAAAAAAGAAAGAAGGAAAGAAAGACAGAAAGACAGAAAGACAGAAAGTAAGAAAGACTCAAATCAACTAAGTTGAGGTTTCCTTGGTTTTTCTGCAACCGCGGAGAACAAGCGGTGCCTCAACAAAAAAGGACAGGGCGCAAATGACTCGCAAGCGCCTGACGTGCCTTTTCTCCCGCGCTTCTCCGAGCTGAAAGACGACCATTTAGAGGGCGGGTTTGCTCACCAGGGTGCTGGTTTTTTCAAGGGACCCGCCCCAAAATTGGGGGTTCCCCAAAACTTTTTTGCACTAGAATGAAAAAAAACATGTGGGCAAGATTTGGAGCACCGTTCAACAAGCGAACAAGCGTCACTGGGTGACTCGCTTTTCCGGCCCAGGGCCCTTCACATAGCTGGAGCCTTATGCATCCCGGCACGCAGAACATCTCGAGTGTGAGGTGGGAGGCTTCTTTCTTTGTTTGTGTGACCCAGGCATGCGTTTATGTTTTGTGTGATGTTTGCTTGCTTGCTTGCTTGCTTGCTTGCTTGCTTGCTTGCTTGCTTGCTTGCTTGCTTGCTTGCTTGCTTGCTTGCTTGCTTGCTTGCTTGCTTGCTTGCTTGCTTGCTTGCTTGCTTGCTTGCTTCTTTTTTTTTCCGTTTTTTTTTCTGTTTGTTTGTTTGTTTGTTTGTTTGTTTGTTTGTTTCCGTTGCAGAGGTTTGAACAAAAGTGTCCAATTGTTTGCCCTCTAAAAGCCTAACTTTTGAGGCCGCGTAGCTGGGCGTGACAAGTTGACACCTTGCCGGAGATATTCATTTTCTGAAGAATCCCTGTTTCTTTCATTTGCTTAAGCAACTCACTCCCTGAGTTCCGTTTTAGACTGAAATCTCACTTGTTTGGGGTTGGACCATTGTAGTAGTAGACAATTGGTTCCCTTGTTTGGGCCGCATGTTGTGTCTTTGCCATTCTTTGCATGGCGGCGTTCAAGGACCCCAGCCAATGTGCACTTCTTGTTTCGTTTGTGTTTGGGGGGAGGTTTCTGATGTAACCCCTCGTGGTGGTTTGGATTTGGGTTTGAAGCCCAGGCTTTTGTAGAGAGTATATGCGAAGCCCTGAGCCTCTAAACCACCAATCCACCCATCAGAGGGTAGCCCGAATCAACCAACGAGAGCAAGGTGCCCTTGTTTGAGCCAGGGATTTGGAGAAGGGTCTTGGAGGACGGTCCATGCAGCTGCACTACATGTCGAGCATGCGTCTGCCTTTTTTTAAATAGCGAGCTCACTGATTCGGGGGGGAAGAAGGAGCCCAGCTCATGACAAAGGTCCCCTAATTCAGCTTTGTAGTTATAGTCAAATTTGCCGATGTGTGTGGAAGGGCACCTAGCAACTGCAAAATGACAGCGGGTTCATTCCTTATGTGCCTTCATTCTATTATGTAGCCTCCTTGCCCGACATTTTGTGCGCTTCCGATCGAGCTCCTGGCACCTCACTTTTTGGGTCTCCATTGGTTTCCATTGGTTTCCATTGGTTTTTTGTTGGCCAATCCACTCAGGAAGTGAGTCACACAGGATATTAAGAGGCGTGTGCATGTTGAGAGTTCAACCCGTTCTTTCATTCCCAGCAGGGTACCACACATCGAGGAATCCGAACAGGGCGTTCATTGACTTCTTGCTGTCCTTGTGCGGAATTGACAGTCCAATCACAGGGCTGACATGACAGCCTGCTCACACACCCAAAACGAATCGACTTTGTGACTTTTGGCTTTTTCTAATTTGGTGCAGGTATGGTCACGGCCCCAAAAGGTTAACCTTTCATTTCGTTTTTTGTTTTTTTTCTCGTTTGCACAGTGAGCCGATCGAGGTATAGCTTCACCCTGGTCGCCTCCATCGGCTATGGCGACATGTCCCCCACCTCGGACCGTTCCCGGCTCTTTTGCATCGCCTTCACGCGCCTCGTCTGAGAGTCTGGGTCGCCGAGTAGAGATCGCCAGTGACTGAAGCCTTGTACCTCAGTCGGTGAATCCTCAATGTCCCTTTTTGGCCTCCAAAAGTGGCAGTTTGGTTGGAACCCAGTAAGCTGCGAAATTGATCAGCTTGTGACGGGGCAGTTGGGCATGCCATACCTATACTGCGAGAAGTTGGGCTGTAATTCTGGCTGCCACCACGCCACTTCGCAGGGACTCTCAGGGGAAACAACAAAGTGATGGTGTCAGAATCAAGCAATTACCCCTTTTTGCCCTAAGGCTGGCCAACATGTTGGGTAGAGGGGAGGGGGGTTAACCCCGACATGAGTGTCAGGACTTCTGGCAAGAGTACGCCGGGGAAGTTCTGTTTGGACATCTTTGACTCCCGTCAAAAAGCACTGCAAAGACACAGCTACAAATCACTGGCCAGAAACGTGAGTATGTGGTGTATGGCATGTGTCGTGTTGTGACAGCCTAGACACAGCTTGTGCAAAGCCAGGAAGAAGTGTTTCCATCAGGGAGTCTCGTAGACGGAGCGCGCGCAGCAGGTCGCAGACGCCAACATGACAAGCGCAAGCCAGAAAGTATGCGAAGATGAAGTTTCTAGCCCAAAGCTCCGCTCTCAAACAGCCCGTCGCAGCAGCCCAGTGCATGGAGGGCGCTGACTTTATGGGTGCGCTGCTGAAGAAGTAGCTCAGGCACAGCCAGCCGAACCCATCATGCGCACGTCCAGAGGCTTTCTGTAGCGCTTCTGCTCGAGAAAATGCTGCGCTTACAGGGGTTTTGCCCAACACGACATAGACCACACAGGCCTCGCTTGGCTTCTCGCAGGTTCCGAAGAGCAGCAATATCTACAGCCTGAGACCACAAAAGCGCGTGTGAGAAGTGCCACGCTTGCCAACGCTGCGTATCCGAGTTCCTAAACACGAGTACGCAGGTTTGACAGACGCCAGTTGGCCACGAACCCCATACAACACCGTTATACGTGGTGCTTTTGCATATCCGGACTTCACGTCCTCTGCGCCTCAGGCTAACCCCCCCCCCCCCCCCCCGATCAACCCAACATGGTGCCAGGGTCCCATTTTGGCCATGGATGATTGCTGAAGTTTTCCATGTTTTTCATCCAAGGAGAGGATCTTGTTTGCTTTTGAAGGCCACACAGCGTCGTCTTTGGCTGACGGTACGGCCCACATGGGCGCGAGTCGGCAGGCCTCCCAGAAGCTTCTCGCGCAAGAAACAAGACGCCAAAGGAGCAGGGTTTGCCAGCCCCATGTGGGCTTCAGGGGAGTAAGCCATGGGGGACTGTCCTGTTCTTGGATCAAGTTTGTTCGGTTCGTTTTTAGAAGGGGGCTGCAAAACAACACAGTCTTGTGCTACCAAACAAAGGGTTGTGAAGGGGCGACGCAAAACAACAAACCTACCAAATGTTCCAGACTTGAACCCCACCAAGGGTTAGGACCGAACTTGAGAGTGTGGCGATGGCTGCGTGCCAGGACCCCGGGCCGGTCATGACAAAGCCTTTGCATGAGGTCCTTAGCTACGCGCGTCCTAACGAAACCCACTCCTTCAAAAGTCAAGGCTCGCCAGAAAATGGACACCCCTCGGTTTAATCCGCCAAAAAAGCCGGTCCTAGTTGACCATTCGTGCGACGTCCCTATGGATCCCTAGGTTGCTCCAAGAGTTGCTAAAGATCTTTTTGGGGAATGCCGGGGCTTAGGGTTCCATGCCGAGGGCGGTGGCGACGCCGACCCTTGTAGTCATGTACCTCGGCATGGCCAAGAACGTGTGCCTTGCCAGCAAATAGGTTGGGGCTTGGGGTGGGGGAGGTTTGTGGGTGGGTTTGGGGGTTTGGGGATTTCACGCATGAAGGTTCTATATTCGGGCTGTACAGGGGGAGCCGCTCAATGGGAGCCCTGCTTTCACGCTGTGGGTGGACGAACGAACTCCTTCGTTGAACCCCTGCGGGAAATGAGGCAAAACACATGGTGCAAAATATCGTTAGCATGTGAGCAGAGAGCGTCCATTTTTGCCCAAAGAAATATGACATTTCTTTATTTTCCCCGTTGGGTTTACAGGACATCTATCACTACTGGAAATGTTATTTCTTCTTCTAATTAGGGGACTTAAGCTGGAGGAGAAGCAGTATGATTTGTGATTCAAGCGAAAGGAGTTCTGGTGCTTGGATTCGCTGTTCACTTGCAGAAGTTTCTTTAAACAACTGGTTCCAAGAAAAGGGAAGCCACTTCGACGGGTTTCAAGAAGTAACATTGTTCATTTCACTTGGCCATATCCCCTTTGCGATGAACACATGGAAGCTGACAGGGGGGTTTTGGAAGACTATTGTCCTTTTTTTGGGGGAGTCCCATGTCCATGGAGAGAGGTTGACTTTGCTCGGCGTCGCGCCTTTTCCGGTTTCTTCATCTTCCGCCGGTGCGAGGATGCAGATCTGGCACTTCTTTGCCATGATGATGACTAAAGAGAGCCTTGGACGCACCTAGATTCCCCCCTAACTTGGTTTCGATTCAACAACCCTGGGGCCTCCCAAGGGCTTCAAGCCACCAACAGGGAATCTGAGCTTATATAGATGGATGCGGCAATCATACGCGGTTAGCATCCGTTGGGAATCTACATGCTGGCAGTTGCAGCAGCGCCCCATGCATGAGCTTAAGCATCATTCTTTGCGTTGTTCGACGTACTCGCCCGAAAGTTGACAAACCTGTTCATGTGTTCTCCACAAAGTGGGCACACCCAGGTTGACGCGGATATATTGCCGTGTCACGTACGTAGCGTTTTCCCTTTAGATTTGCAAGAGCTTTCATGAATGGCGGAGTGATTAGTAAAGGGCCTCCCCCCCAAACAAATTGGGGGTTTAAAAGGGAACACCTAAAAGCAAATTGAGAGTCAGAGTTGTGCCCCCCCCAAACAAAATGGTGGGGGGGTGCGTCCATAGGGAATACAGAGCTGGGCCTACTCAAAAAGCCTCTCAGCAAGTAGGATTCCCCTGTACTGGCCCAGTTTACTATCTCCTCCCCTTAATCACTTGTGATTATTAGCTGCTCGGGGTTTCTCTGTCCCACCCCCAAGATTGTTATTTTGCATTTTGTGCTGCACTTTAAACGGTTTTTGGGAAGACACGTTTTAGTGGTAAATACGAAGTGATCTTTAAGTCTTTTGTGTGCCGGGAAGCCGCAGGCTGGGGAGTTCGTCAATCAGACATAGTGGACAGCCCGTTTGCTCTTAGACGAGGGTGGACAGCCCAGGCCCCGTTTGCACATCGAGGCTTACCGAGGGTTGTAAGTAAAGCGGGATGTCCTGAAACAGCATGCAAGGTAATGTTCACGATGAACATGCTGGGTTGACGACTTTCAGATGGGAGGCCACCAAGAAGGGAAAAAGGGTTCCACTGAACAAGTGGGATGTGGATCCATGTGGGTATGGCTCCAAATTGAATATCCACAGGTTATGCAGATTTAGCCATTGTTTCTATTTTCGAAGGGCCATATTGGGCACCATGTTTTCAGCCACAGCCATCAACATCCTGAAAGTTGCTGTCAAAGTACTTTAGAGAACCTTGACCTCCTCAAAATGCTTACTTTAAGGGACTCAAATGTAGGCTACTCACTTGAGCCATGACAGGAAAAAGTGACCACCGTTTTGGCTCGTGACGCAAAGTGCGGGCGATTCGCTTTGGGCAGCTGAACTTAAGCTTTGGTGCCAAAGCCTGAACAACTCGAAGCAGCATACGCCTCATCCCCTAGACTTCTTTGCCTGGCATGCTCGCAAAGAATACCTATCAGGCTATGCCCAGAACTCTTGGGAGTGGTTTTCCTGTGCTCCATGGGCAATGAGAGCACTTGATCAATAGCACGGTCACTCTTCGGACCAGTGATCGTCTTCTGGCTTGCTGGGAAGGAGTCAAAGAATCGCCGGGGTCGCTGAACAACTAGGACATCTCTTTGTGGTACATGATGATCGCAATGGACATGTGCAAAAACTATGTTACTTGGACCCCCGCAAATATCTATCATAGGCCCCGCCTCCTAATGTACAGCCAGTTGTGGGGCAGCTTTTGGCGCCTTAGCGCGCCTGGCATACCCGCAAGGTTGCTAAGACACGTGAAACATGTGGTAAGTTGCAGGTAGGGCTTAGAGGTTGGTGAGATGAGCGCAAGGAACATCCTCACTTTCCACAAGTATGACTACGACGGCTCTGGACAATTGGACCGCGCGGAGTTCGCCATTGCGCTCCATGACTTGGGCTACCCCGTGCCTCGTCCGGAAGAATCCGACCAATGGAGTCCATTGTGGTTTGGGCTGGGGAATCAGCACGGGTGTTTTTTCTTTAGACGGGCCCCAAAACATCCTGGTCTTCCTTTTGGTTTGCCTTTGAGCCCAAAAAGGTAGCAGGGATTCCCTTCTTTCGGACTACAACGAGTGGGCTTAGACTGCAGCCAGCAAGAAACACGTTGGCAGTGGTTGGCAAGGTCGCGAACCTCGCTTAGTTGGAGCATGCACGCGAGTGAAGGTATGCGAAGATCAGAGGGCCATGGTCTGCCTTCCATGGCTGCTGCTGATTGGAAATTACAGCCCCGCAGGGACTGTCATGCAGGAAGATTGCCATTTTTCTCGCACTAGCAGCATGCCAGGAGTTGAGTGCGGATGGAGATGTTCGTGTGTGGTTTGGTAGTTGGCCTATAAATTTTGCCCCTTGTGCTTGAATTGCCTCCCTTGAGTTGGAGTTGGTATTCGGGACGGAAAGATTACCATGGTTATTTCGCGCGCGCTCGGTGAGACGCTGAACAACTGCGCCATGTTCCCACTTTGTGTGAAGGGTCCCCCTTCAAACACAAGCAGCAAAATCATGCCCGTTTGTCCAACTGGGCTGCTCATTGCATTTTGATTCCTGTCAACCTAGGGAAGCAAGTGCCATAAGCCGCCAACTTGCCGACTATTTACCCCCCTTCACGGTAGCATGGAGCCTCAAAAGCCATCAATCCTCGGTAACCCACTTTTGGAGGGCCCCGTGAATGTGCGATATGGCTGTGGGTCAAAACCAATGGTACCATTTTGGGGTGGGCTAAAGCGTTAACCGCAGGTGGTCGCTTGTCTTGACTCTTCATAAGTGTCCACTTGGGCCACCATTTTGGCTCAAGTGGACTCTGACCTTCTGTCTTGTAATCTGAAATCTTTCTTTCCCCTCCTATCAAAGCCATGTACGCCCCCGCCTACGCTGGTGCCGCGGTTGCAGAGGCCAAGGCGAAGGCAAAGGCCTCCATGGCGAAGTACCTGGCAAGCCTCGTGAAGAAGGAGGAAGAAGGATGGACCGTCTTGGCTGCTGAGGTCCCTCAGGCACCTGACGAGCGGTTCTTCTCCAGCGCCGATGAGCTGGAGCAGGCCCCACTCATCCCAGCCAAGCGCAAGGCAGAGGACGAGCTGATGGCAGACTCAGCCCCTGGGGTGGCGCAGGTGCCGAAGGCCCTGACACGCCCCCCAGGGGCGTTCCTGGAGCTCCTAAACCCGCCGGAGAAGGATGTTCCCATGGAGGAACTCCTGGCGGAAGACGAGGAGGAGCTCCCGATGTCCGACACCAAGTGGCAGAGACGCCGTGATCTGATGGCGAAGGTCAGGGAGCAGGCGTCCTCGGAGGAGGATGAGGACCCCGCAGCCCCCCCGCCGGGGGGAAGCGTCTTCACCAAGGCCCTCAAAGTCTCTGAGGGCCTTTACCAATTCAGCGATGACCAGATGGCGGGCGACTTCCCGTGTTTTGATGCGACCACGGCCACTAGGCTCCGCCGACTGCAGGCCAAGGACGTCCAGCGGCTCCTGAGAGGCTTTGAGGGCCCCCAACTCAAGCAGGGGGGCCTGGAGCGTGTGGTGGAGGCGTTCTACATCGCCAAGATGAAGTATGAGCATGAGGCCCGGCTCAGCACCCCGGGACAGCAGGTCGGCAAGCGCGCTGGCCTGGGGTATGGGGGCCTGGAGAACCGCCCCCTGGGTAAGGAGCCCACATCCTGGATCTGCCCCTGCTGCACCATGCCCTGGGTGAAGAAGGGCGCCAGGAAGTGTATGGGGTGACGGAGCCCACAGAAGCCACCCTGGGAGGCGGGCACGCACTGGCAGTTGACGGTGGATGACCAGGGCAATGCGGTCTGGACGGCGGCCCGGTCCGCAGGTGCCGATGGCCCTGATACGGACCGGGCCCGCGACCTCAAGCTCAGCGCCTCGGTGGATGTCAGCGAGCTGGCCACCGACCCGATGGCATGCGAGAACCCGGACCAGGCCAGCTTCTCGGACTTTGTCCCCTCCTCGGTCCGGGCGGTGATCAGGAACTGCCCCATGGAGCTGGACGAGGATTTCCTGACGGCCCCAATGGGGGAGAGGCCTCCATTGCCGGGCGACAAGGAAGAGGGCCAAGAATGCAGGGCCTTCCACCCGTCGGCGGTGAAGGCTTTCAAAATCCAGACCCGGCTCAACGCCACCACCATTGCCCAGGAGGAGGCCAAGAAGGCAGACCAGGTGGCAGCGGTGGAGCGATCCGCGGCGGTCCTCCACGAGCTTCAAGGAGGGGCCATTGATGGAGGAGGCGATGGGGGCCTCCTCCTCAAGAATTTGGACTTGGACCTTTTCCGCGGGTCTTTGAGCCGACCACGGCATGGAGGGATTTCAGCATGGACGACCTCACGTCCCTCACGGACTCTTACCTCGAAGCCAAGGCGGTCATCTCGCTGGGTAGGAACCCCTTTCCGGCGGCCCTCCTGGCAGATCTGCCGGATCTGGCGGGGATCCCCATTCCAAAGGCGGGGGGCTCTGGTGCGGCGCGCCCAGGTGCCGAGGGCCCTGACAGGCAGCCCACCATCCCCCCAGCCTCGGGCTCTGGCGCGACGAGCTCAGGTGCCGAGGGCCCTGACAAGCCGTCTGCCACCCCAGGGGGCCTGGATACCCAGGACCCGGAGGTGCAGCTCGCGGTCCTGCGCTGGATGATGAGCAAACGGGTCGGAGAGGTCCGTATCTTTGCGGGCCGCTGGGTCCGACGACCGGGCCCCGTACACGTCCCGGACTGGGCCAACAACCTCACCAAGGTGAATCCGGAGGCGCTGGAGAGGGGTACGCATCCCAGGAACCACCAGGTGGGTGGACTCCCATGGGCCAGGTACTCCGTTGATGAGTTGAACCAGCAGGCTAAGGCGGGGGACCGACCCTACCCCGAGGACCTGCGTTCCATCTTCTGGGCGGCCCCCCACGATCCGGATGAGGACTTCCACTGGGCGCGCCAGATCTCGTCCTGGACACTTCCAGGCTTACTGGGGATGTTTGGTCACAGCTTCACCCTGCGCCAGCTCTGGGGAGTCTGGGAGTCCCTGCCACTGCTACAGGGCCCTAGGCAGCGGGGCCCGAAGAACAAGGCCCAGAATCAGATCCGCCTGGAGGGCTGGGAGACCCTGAAGGAAGACGCGCGGTGCTTCCTGAAGGAGGAGGGCCTTCCGTTTCCGCAGACAGGACCGGAGTGGCGGTTGGTCTACCGGGCCATGGGCAAGGTCCTCGCGGCCCGGGCCTTCCTCACGGACACCCCGGCGGAGGTGATGCAGCTCCCGGTCCAGGACGTGGCGGACTCCAAGGAACAGATGATCCTCCGGGCGGTATGTGATGAGCGCATATCTGTCCCGGTGGAGAGTCTCCAGCAGTTCCCAGAGGTGTACAAGGCCCTCATGGACCGCATTGGAGGCCCGGGGGCCCTGGCGGAGGTGAAGGTCAATTGGCGCTGCAACACGAAGCAGTGGTGGGTCGGCGCAGTCCCCGACTCAGTAGCCCCCTCCATCTACCGCAAGCTCGGCTACACCAACGACATGATCAAGCTGATGGGCCTTGACCCCTCCGCCCCTGGGTGCCGGACAGGTGCCGATGGCCCTGACATCCGCCCCAGGGGAGGAGAGGGCGATGAGGGGATCGTTTACCCCCCCATCACATCGGACAACGTCCACGGTGTGGTGGGCAAGGACTACCGGAAGAAGAACTATCCGGCGGAGACGAAGCATGTCTTCTGGGCGCACATGGAGTGTGGCCTGGTCCTGAGCTCCGTCACCCCGTGGGAACTCATCCCGAAGACAAAAGGGGAGACCCGGGGGGGCTACATGTGCAAGTACTGCAAGGGGTACTGGCGCGCCGGGGGAGGGGGCACCCGCCTCCTCCAGATCCGGGCCGGCAAGGCCATCCTTCAGCTGGTGCTGGACGAGCCGCCGGATGGCCTGTACAACCGCTGGGTCAAGGAGCGGTTGGAGTTCTACCGCCGGGTAGAGCCCTCTGCCCCGCTGCGGGATGTCTCCGTGGTGGACCAGAAAGTCCCCCGGTTTAGGTTCAGCCACATCACCCAGACCGGCCATGTTTCAAACGCCATCTGGGAGCTGATTCTCCGGAATCCGGAGGCGGCGGCGCTCAAGCGCATTGACGACATTGCAAAGGGGGCCGTATGATCATACAGCACTGCGGCCATCCGGAACGGATTCGCAGCGCACCCCGGGGGGGACAGCTGCCGAGGGCGCTGATATCCCCCCCTGGGCACAGCACAGGCCTAGACCTGTACCAGGCGAGAAAAATTGGCGCGCTTGGGCTGGTCCGGGGTGCGCCTTGGCTCCCCTCCCTTGTTTGGTTCTTCCCTTTCCGGGGCGGCTCCCTGGGTCCCCCCCCCCCTTTTCCCCCGTTTCGGGATGGGCTTTCCGGGGTTTTGGGGGCTCCCCTGTTGTTTGGTTGGGGTTTGCGCCTAGGAATTAGGCTCCTGGCTCGAGTGGATCACGATGATGTGGAGGCCCCGCCTCCCTTCCCCGTTTGGAACGACCTTCCTTGGGGTACCAACCGCGTTCCAGTTGATTTTGCATGACCTTGGATTTGCACCAGTGCAGTCGGACGGGGAAATCCTCGTGGCGTGCTGCCTGGAATGGGTCAAAAAGGACCAGGTTGCCAACCCGGATGCGGTGGTCTTTGACCCGCGACCGTGGACACGAATCGTGGGGCTGGCACCTGACGGCAACCATGTCCTGGTGGCCTCGGACACCTACAACTTGATCCTCGCAAGGATACTCGGCTCCCAACCACAACCGCTGGAGGAGGCGGATTTGGAGCTCGCTACTAAGACCCTGCAACAACTTCTGTTTCGTGCGGCAGGCGCCAGACAATCGCACACCTATTCTCCACTGGAAATGGAGCAGGCCATCCGGGACCGCGAGGAGTGGATCCTCTCCGGATCGATTGAGGCCCCGGATGTCCTGGCAGTG